TATTATTCGAATTAATAGTAATAATAAAAGTCAAAATTTCGAATACTTTTTTCAAATCGAGCAGACTATCTTCAATTGAAAGAAATGGAAGTTAGAAAGATCATGTTGCGTCACAACATGATCTTTCTAACTTCCATTTCTTTCACTTTTTTGGTCTTGTGCTGTATGCTTAGTCTTGCTTCTTGCTTGACTGTGGAGGAAGATAAAAAGAAAAGAAATCTTTCCTGATTTCAAAGTGTAACAGACGGGTTTCAATGGGGTCAAAATACTCAAAATTATTAAAAAAACAGAACGTTAGATTGTGTTTCTGAAGAAGCAAATGTTGATTCTTAAATGAAAATGACCATTTCTCTTTCTTCAAGAAATGCGCAGTGGACAGGCGGAGAACAACAACAACAACAAAAAAAAAGCTTTGGCAAAAATCAGATAAGGTAGCAGCGTCCAGTAAAGTAGCTACATAACAATGTCCAGCAGAAAGGTTGTAATACTGTTATTTTATTAATTGAAAAATGTATAGTATAGCAAGAAAGAAGGAAACTGTGGGTATACATCACTATTCTAAATCCCATGTTTAATGTCAATAATTGATATTTTCTGACTGTGAATAAATGAGTGAAAAAAGACGACAAGTTAATGTTTCCCAAGGGAATCATAAAATAATGACATGCGGGATTAGATTTAGTGCAACTAGGGAAGGCTGACAGATACGATACACATTATTATTATTATTATATTCATGCGATGATAACTAGTTACTTACTTATCAATATTTTCTCTAGGCTAGGGACCAGTTCTATTAGTTGAAGAATGCTTAAAATTCCTGCCTAATCAGTTATTAAAAAAAAAAAAATTATGAAATAAAAAGATAAAATAAAAATGAAATTAATGTTTAAATGAAAATAAACGAACACGGAGTTAATTAGAAATATAAACACACACACACATATATTTCATTTAGGCATTTTTTTTTTAAATTGATGGAAATAATTTTATTTCAACACACGTACCTTACCTAGTATGGTAAACTAAATTGGAAAAGAATTCAGAGTTTCTTTTTTTTTTTGCTTTATTTGTGCATTTTCCACCATTCGTCGCTACACAATCTTCTTGTCAGTCAGGTTTCCTAGAATTTTTTTCCTTTAAATTTGTTTAGGGAGACGGTTGCGTTTTTCTCGGCTGTCGTTATAGTTGCCGGCAACTGTGTTGGTCTTTCCATTATTATTCAAACAGGTGTAAGAGAAAAGCTTGCATTTTTTTAATGTTCCAAGACAGTCTCCATACCAAAAATCCCTCCTTTTATTATTCAAACGAAAAACTTCAAAACAAAAAGATACGACTTTCTTTTTGACAGTCGAATACGTGTGTGTGTGTTGCGGGGGAAGATGGTTGTTGAAAAAAAATAATAAAATTTTCGGTCGGTCCAAGAAGAGATTGAAAAATAAAATTCTGATGTTTTTGCTCATTTGCGAAAGTGGCTCGGGCCATGAACATTTCAGCACCCCTCCTCTCGCCATCGGAGAAGAGCAGCATTTCTCGTAATGACGCTGTCTGTAGTAGTCTGCAATTTCGCTCGGCTGGCTTTAGGGTCCCGAAAAACTAGGGTGGTGGGGAATAATTTTTATTTGTATATTTTGAACAAAGACAGTATATTTTTTTTAAGTTCTCATATTTTCATAAATTTACCTGCACGCCATTTTGTGTGGTCGTGATCAAGAACATTTAAATTTTAAACCTACTTAAGAAAAAGTAAGTGTTGCAGAATCTATACGACACATAAAAACATGTATGTCTAAAAAATGCGTCGATGTTGCTATATGTCTAGGAGGGAAAAAAGGGGTTCGAACTGTACAGTTAGAGATAGTAAGGAGAAAAGAAATATGAAGAACAATAGCTCTCTCCCATGTTTAAAAACATGTTTAAGTTGACAAATACGGGACTTATGGATTTTGAAATGTCTGAAATAAAAAAACAAAACAAAACTTTTATTTAATTATTTTTAAAAAAAAGTTATTAATATTTAATAACTTTTTTTTTTTTTGTAAATAATAGACGTAGAAAAATATGATAAATTCACCGATCGATAAACATAAGTGACAAATATTTCAGGTGAGGACTCGGACTACAAAAAGATAAATTTTAAAAATATTAAGATAAAAAAAAATAATCCAAGGGAATTATAAATTAACTTTCAGCGAATTGTATTGTGTTTTTATTTAATTTTTAAAATATCTTCAATTTTATTATTCTTATTATAATTTTTAAAAACAATTATTGGTTCTGTGGTAAATTTCATCGTTTTGGTCTTGGTGCTAAAAATGCAAGATTCATTTTGCTTTCACGTATATTTGTAAGTATTGTTGGAAAACAAGTATATAAAAAAAAAGGGAAACTTAATTGAAAACCTTCACTTCATCCTTTCAAGGAGAGAGAGAGAAAAAAATCAAAACTTCAGGGTGACCGTCAGTTTTACTTTTAGTTTTTACGCTTCAAGCAATCGTCATGGTCTGAAGATTGCTTGAGATGTAACCATGCAGTGCCGATTCCTAGAGCGATACTGTTTTTTTTTTTTTTTTTTTTTTTTTTAATAATGCTTTATTTCCGATAGAACTCTTCCCTTACAAATATAGCACATTTTAAACAAGATTTATTTGAGGAGACATAAAAAAAAAAAAAAAAAAAACAATGAAAAAGTAAATTCTCACGATCTTGTCGATTATCAGGGTTGGGTCCTACACACAAAATAAGTTTTTCCTAAAAGCAGCAATGTAGATAAGAATATTTACATAACTGCAGATACTGAATAAATAAACTAAGGGGCAGAATATTGCAATTAAAATATCAGATTTAGAATTTTAAGAAAATATTAATAAACACTAAAAATCTATTACTATTTGAGATCATTTTTAAATAATTAAGATTCTGAAACTTTATATAATAATTTACATTTAAACAGATATGTTTTCATGTCCCAAAAGCCCTAGCAACGAAAACGGGGTTGTAGGAAACATTGTTATAGAGACGTATATTTTTGTTATGAAAGGGTGAATATTCCACCTGTAATTTGACAGCTGATATAAATTCTATATATTTTAACTGAAAATATTCAAATGTCAAACTAATATCTCTTTTCTTATCCATTAATGAAATGAGTATATTTTATTTTCGCATTTTCTCTTTGTAGATTTCGGTAATGTTTTTTCAAGAAAGGAATAGGTTCATAAAATGACTCAAATCCCCAGTTTCAAAATTTGAGTAGAGAATTTTATCTTGGACTTTCTATTGACCAACTAGTGAACACTCATCGGATTTAATAATGGCAGACAAAATTTAAGAGCTGCAAAGGACAAGAAATTTTGGCGAGTCATGATCGCCAATATCCTGAAGAGATACGGCACAAAAGAACACGCTCTTGCGTCTTACCATTCTTACTTCTTTTGGAATTTTACTGCGCTTACTTTGAACAATTTACGTTACTACCGCTTAACAAATAGGTAAATAAAATTAAAGATAAATTTTTAACTAGTATTGTTTTTTACGACTTATCGACCCTTTGTGGGTTATTTAAAGCCGAAACTTTTTTTTTCATCTTCGAGTGAATATTGCATTAACAATTATTTTTGGAGATAACAATAATTTTTCCACATACAAGTTCTACTCTTCAACCCATAGCTGGGAGGAGACATGGATTCATAATATTCCAAAGGGCATTTTGTGCGTAAGTAAATGTAACAAACTCGACTGTAATTCGAACACTGCTCTCCTATTTTTAATTTCGAACTGCTATCATTACACCACCCGCACATCCTAAAAGCAGACAGAAACTGAATCTGTTTAACTTTATCAATCGACTTTTATTATAATACGACAGTCAAAACCTGGTAGTATTTCTATAGACAACTGGGGGAACCCAGGCTTAGCAGTAAAGACGTTTTTAGTTCTGAACCCGAACTCGAACCCTGGCCGCAAGTTGTATTTGATCCGAGTAACTTTTAGGGAATTTCGAACCAAAGCCATTGTTTAATCTATGGGGAGGGGGTGTAAATTGTTATCATTCTGCTGTCCATATCTTGTTTTGCTTTTACTTAGTACTACACAGTTATTGTTCGCCGACTTTCCACTGAGTCTGTAATACTGAGCTCAGGGACTGAACTCATAATTACTATGTCACAAAATTCACGTGATCAAAACTTTATTCCCTTGAGCTCATGACAAGAACTAATGAAATTAATACGAGAGTTAAGAAAAAAAGAGGGAGGAGAGAGAGTATAAAGAGAGGGGGGAATAAAGAGGAGGGGGGAAAAAATAAGGGGGGGGAATAAAGAGGGGGGGGGAGAAAATAAAGAGGGGGAAAATAAAGGAGGGGGGAGAAAATAAAGAGGGGAAAATAAAGAGGGGAAAATAAAGAGGGGGAGATAATAATGAGGGAAGGAGGAGAAAGAAAATAAAGAGAGCTGGAAGAGAGAGAGAGAGAGAGAGACTGTGATTTAACGATAATGAAATAGGTTAATTATTCATTTGATCAATTCTTTGGGATGCGAGGAAAACAAGAAATTCTATATTGTCATCAGAGACATGCAGGGACCCCATCATCTTGTCATAGAAAATATTAACCCTATCTGAGATATCTTTAAATGCAGCATTTGTGGCGTGCTTAGCCAATTTACTGACCCTTAAAGCCAGAACTTCATTCAAAGATTGAGAACAAAAAGTCAGCCGACAGCATTGCAGACAAAATATCATGTTCGGTTTGTCCATCATGTTCGCTGTTCTTAAAATGGAAGAGTCTCCAGTAATAAGAAACAGAGTCTGTTTCAATATTTGTGAGTGAATGGCCTATGAAGAGAGAGAGAGAGTGTGTGTGTGTCTATGTGTGTGTGTGTACCGCCGACATGTATTTGTCAGGAAGAGATCAAATCTATTGAGAGGGTCTCTTATGACTGATTGAATGTTTTATGGACAGAATCAGCAAAATGTAGATAGGAGGTTGATTAAAGCGAGTATCAGAAGAAAAGGATAGATAGAGAGAAAAAAAAAGAAGAAAACCAAAGAGAGAGAAAAGAAGGAAAGGAGAGAGAGGGAGAGAGAAAAGAAGGAAAGGAGAGAGAGAAAAGAAGGAAAGTAGAGAGAGGGAGAGAGAGAGAAAAGAAGGAAAGTAGAGAGAGGGAGAGAGAGAGAAAAGAAGGAAAGCAGGGAGAGAGGGAGAGAGCATAAAAGAAGGAAAGCAGAGAGAGAGGGAGAGAGCATAAAAGAAGGAAAGCATAGAGAGAGAGGGAGGGAGAAAGCATAAAAGAAAGGAAAGCAGAGAGAGAGAGAGGGGGAGAGAGCATAAAAGAAGGAAAGCAGAGAGAGAGAGAGGGAGAGAGCATAAAAGAAGGAAAGCAGAGAGAGAAAAAGAAAGAAAGCAGAGAGAGAGAGAGAAAAGAAGGAATACAGAGAGAGAGAGAGAAAAGAAGGAATGCAGAGAGAGAGAGAAAAGAAGGAATGCAGAGAGAGAGAGAAAAGAAGGAATGCGGAGAGAGGGAGAGAGCATAAAAGAAGCCGAGGGAGAGCCCAAAAAGAGAAAGAAAACAAAGAAAGAGAAGGAAAAAGGAAATCATTGAGAGAGAGAACAGAAAGAGAGAGAAAAGAAAGAGGGCAGAGAGAGAAACAGAGAAAGAGAGCAAAGAGAAAAAACAGAGAAAGAGAGAGAGAGAGAGAGAGAGAGAAAGTGAAGGAACGCAGAGAGACAGAAAAAAAGAGAAGAAACGCGGAGAGTGAGAAGCAAAGCATATAGAGAAAGAGAGGAGGAGAACAGGGTAATAAAAAGGAAGTAGAGAAGGTAGAGAGAGGATGGAGAGAAAAGAGAAGGAGAGCAGGTAAAGGGAGAAAAAGTAAGAGGAGGGAAACAGTGTGAGAAAACAAGAAAAAGAAGGCGAGAGAGAGAAAAAAAAAAGAAGGGCAACAAGGAGAAAGAAAAGAAAGCGCATGCTTAACATTGAAACAGTGGAAATCAAAAATAGAAACAAATCTATAAATTATACGCATAACCCAAATATATAAACGTGTGTGTGTGTGCAAAAGTGAAAGCGAGAGAGGGTTGACGATCACGAGAAATAATACCTTTTTCTACAGCGAGGCTATCCTAAGGAAGACAAAGATCCTATCAGGATGTATTATCGGTGGGCACAATCTTAATAATATAAGATACGCAGATTGACATTGTGTTAGTGGCAGACACAAAGAAAAGTGTAGAAGCTCCATGACAAAGCAGAAAAGAAAAGCAAGAAGAATGGACTAACCGTCGATGATAATAAAACAGAATGTATTGTTGTCATCAAGAGAAAAAGCTCATAATACGAACTACAATTTAGAAGTGTCAACATCAAACAATTAGAGAAGTTAAAAGGATCTGGAAGGTGTTTAATAGAGGATGGAAAATGTGACACTGAAATCCGAACGCACATTGGGATAGCAAAAGATGCATTGAAAAAGCTAAGCAAATTAAGAAGAAACAGGAAAATCTGTTGAATATCAGTGCTCTTAATGGCACTGAATGTAGAACAATATCCTCAAAGATGAAAAAACTAGAGGCAACAGAAGGATGACGTGAATACCATGGACAGAGTCCGTAAGCAACGAAGAAGTCTTTAGGAAAATGATAGCAAAAAGCACACTTCTACTCAGAATCAGAAAGAGACAGACTGAAATTTATTTGACATAATAAGGAAGAAGGGTTTGGAGAATTTGACACTCATAGGGATATATCGAAGGCAAAACGGACAGGGGAAGGCAGAGGGTCACCTACCTGACGAGTTTGTGTGAATGGATGACCGAACAGAGGTTGGGAGGCTTGGCAAAGGAACATGGATAAGAGGGTGTGGAGAATCATGATCACCCACATCCTGAAGGTACACGATGCATGGTAGTACATCTCACTTTTCTCTTTAGATAGATAGATAGATATATATATAGAAACTGTGTTGGATAATAGGCACTTAAAATAAGACAAGAACTTATAATTCGTAGCTCTAAAAGTAAATCATTAAAAAGTAGGCAAGTGAAAATACCGTAAAAGACAAAACTAATTTTTTACAAAGAATAAAAACAGAAGAGATTACAAAATAAAAAAGGACACACACATAAAAATAAAAGCGTAAGCAACACAGACAGAACTGATAACAAAAGAATTGAGGATAGTTTTTTTTTTTTTAAATAAAAACTAGTTTAGTTTCCAGTTTTATTTTTTTTCTAATTGCTAGAATATTCTAAATAATATATATTTTTCTAAATTCAAAGTAACTTCTTACCTTGAATTTCTACACCAAAATCAAGCAAGTACAAAACTTTAAATATTCAGGAAACGTTTTAGAGGATGGAAAATCCGAAAGTGCATTGGGATAGCGAGTGCTGCTTTCTAAAAGCTAATCAAAATCTAAGAAACAGGAAAATGTCGTTAAAAAAAGAAGGAAAGAGTACTTAATTGTAATGTAATATCAGTCCTCTTATATGGCCGTGAATGCTGAGCAATCTCATCACAGATGAAGAAGAGACTTGACACAACAAAAAAGTGATTCTACAGAAGGGTGCTGAGGATATGATGGACTGAACACGCGATCAAAGACAAAGTTTTAGGAAAATGAAATAAAAATGACATTTATACTCAGCATCATAGAAAGACAGTTGAAGGGAACATAATGAGGAAAAGGTGTTTAAAAGATCTCGCACAGGTAGGACATTATTGAAGGTCATAGGAAAACAGTGTATAGCCCATATAAGCAGCTTGTGTAAATGGATGGTAAAACAGGCACATAGGGGAGATATTGAAAAGACAAAATTTAATAAGAGCTACAAAAATTAGGAAATTGTGGAGAGTCATGATCGCCAACATCCTGAAAGGACACGGCACATAGAAGAATAATTTGCAAGAACTTTACGTATATTGGTGTAAAGGTTAATGATACGGTGAATGGAATCAGTGAAACGAGTTCAAATCCCAGCTTGGAAGTTTTGTGTGCACTAACGCCGTTGGGAAAGGCATTACTACAGTTTCATTTTGTGTAGTCATGACCTTCCTTCATAGGAGTTTACAAGTATAAGCAAACGCTGCACACATAAAAGGATAAAAATGTTTATTTAATATTTCCATACTTATCTGTAAGTATCGATTAAACTTGCATTCGTCTGTCACAGTTTCAAAGATAGACTGTATATAAGCAATCAGATAAAAATAAGTAAATTTAAAGGCTTGAATGTTAGTCTACCAAACCTTGATCAAAGTGACTGGGAATGAAAAAACTGTAACAAAAATTAAACACAAATTTCGATGTTTTGTTTACTAAATTCTTTAAGATCTTTTAGGATATCTGATAAAACCTCAATCGAGATGTCACTTTTATTTTTATGTTTTTGTTTTAAATGAAGTTCATCGCAAGCAAGGCATTCTTTAAATCCAGTGAGACACACGAAGGTTACTGGGTGTAGAATAATTAGAAAACAGAAACACCACAAATGAGCGAGGGATCAGGAGGACAGTAGACAGCGACTGACATTGCATTTAAATTTTTGAAGATTAAAGTTGGCTGGAAAGTATGAAGTCAGAAGGGAATTCCACCAGTGAGAAGTGAGAGAAATAACTGTTAGTATAGAAGTTACGGTTACATCTAGACAGCTCAACTAAACAAGTAATGCCGGTTTAGTACAGAAATTAATTTGTAGTTGTAGCTGATTCGAGTCAAGACATACATTTGAGATAGTCTTCATCACAGACGACCAAACAATGACACTTAACGCTTTTTGAAAATACGTGAATAAAACAGAATTCCGATTGAAAGCAAGAATGTCTCAAACGAATTGTTTAATGTTTAATAATAAGTGTGTTGATTTTCTTTTCAATTTTATATGTTTTATTATTTTTTGTTTTGTTAAGCATTTGTAAAGCCCCAAAAAAAAAAAAAAACAAGTGGATATCGTGATGCAGAAATGAATACAAAACTACACTCACGGATGCACAATTAACAATCAAAATGTTCGATGCATGTAAGGTTCAAAATGGCTTCTTCAAATAATGACAGATAAGGTTGTTTACTTCCTGCAGGAGTTATTTCAAGAAATGTGTGAAATTTTTTAAAACATGTCGGATAACTTATGATGCCTATTGGTTAATCTGTTTAAATTTCCCAAACTTTTAAGCAGCAACTCTGGTAGCTTCATACGACATGTGTAAGTTTAAAAATAACTTTTAGAAAAGGTTTTACACAATTTAAAAGAATATTTAAAATTTACAGTTTAATAAAGTTAAAATGATTCATTTTCATTTTTTTACTTTGATGCTTTAAAGTTCTGAAGCAAAGGAAGAAATTGGTTGAACATTAAAATTTAGAACAGGAACTACACTTTGATCTCACTTAAAATAAAAACTGCTTTTTTTATGTACAGTGTTCCGTTGATCCATTTAAAGTAACGATTTCCTCCTTTTTCTATTAGACTTAAATTTTATTTTATCTAATTGCTTTTATATATGTATGCACACACACAAACACACACATAATAAATATATATATATATATATATGTGTGTGTGTGTGTGTGTGTGTGTGTGTGTGCGTGCGTACACACACAGACTGGAATGTATTAAGCATTCAACTGAAATATAATTCAGCCAAACGCAGAGCCACATACGGTGTAAGCATATCGTTTTTTTTTTGCGGGGGGGGATCCTACTAAAAATGTGGCAAGCATTTTTTATTGGCATTTCTACTTAACTTCTTTCCCCAGTCATATGATGTCTCCAAATTAGTACGAAACACTTTGTCAGGAATCTATCGTTAGAAAAGTCATTTTGCAGGCCATTGATTTCGACCGTTGTTGGATGCCACATATTTTGGGGCAAATAAAATTTATATAGCTGGGACGATTCACGAGCTTGACTCACAGATCATTAGGGAATTCTATATCTTCATTGATTGCTTTAAATTTCTATCCTTGTGCCAGACTTAGTTAAGATTAGTAAATATCTAATTATCCATATTTAACTCTCTCTCTCTTTGCGTGTTCATACTGTTATTAAATCCTTAATTCGATTGTATGAAATCGCTGTATTTATCACAAACTGATGTTTGGTTTTTATTTTAAATAATCAAAAAAGTTAACGTTTAACGGCTTTTCTTTCCTTCTTTATAAAACTCCAGTATCCAAATCTATGAATTTTTTTTCTTCTTCCGAACTAAATGCAGAATCAGAGAAACCCAATTTCGAAATAATGGCCGTATATAAATTCACCCTCAAGGAATGTCGTAAGTTAATTAAATAACTAATTCCGAAACTCTATAGTTGGTTACACTGCTTAGATTTTTACTCATCTTTTTAGTCACTTTAAGTACTATTAATTAGTTTCAGTTGCATCATTTATCACATGTTTTAATGATTGATTTAATCTCGTGTATATTTTGTTCTGATTCTCATTGTTCATTGTGGATCATTATATTTGTACTACTGGGTTCGATCTTTAGTGAGGTACACCTCAAACCTGTGGACTTGTCAGACTAATTAAGGCAAGTTTAGTCAATAATAAATCTTGAAATTCAGCCAACAACTTGTTGACCGGGGATACATTCTGCCAATTCAGATGTGTAATGTCACCATCGACGATGTCGTCAGGTATTTTGTGCATTCTCCGCCTATAATACATTGAAGTGTTTGGGCACCTCGCTAGAACAGTTACGACTGGGTAGTGAGTTTGATCCTCACTGGGTGCCCCATACTTTCGGCCTTGTGCCACATCTAAGCTACGCTTGGAAAATAACTACATTGAGGTGTTATTTTGAATCTGTGAAAAAACAAATACTCAAGAAGGAATGCAGTTCAGTTCAAAACACGAGTTTTGTAAATCAACAGTGCTGCGGGCAAAACTTGTGTACCTAATACGTGGTCAGTCCATTAGGGTACACGAGAAATACGCATACAAGATGGACGCCTACTGTAGAGCGCGA